ATACTGGCTCGGGCAAATCTCTTATTTTTCAAACAGCGCCACTAGTGTATTTTGCTCGTTTTTCTGGCAGATAATACATCCATTTGGATTATTAAACCCTGCACATGTTTTACTTGGGGTAATTTCCATTCCTTTCTCTTTTTTAAAGCGCTAACTATTACATTATATCGCTACTTCGTGAAGTTTTCATTTCACATAATTTCCCGCCTTGTAGCAAAACCTTTACGGCTGTTGTCAGATATTTCACTTCCGTTCACTGAAAAATTCACCGTTACGTCATAATATGCTAATTACACAAAAACGTCACGGACATGCGCGACACGTTTCGAACCCCATGCGCCCAGCCGTCAGGGGAGAGAGTATAGCCACAGGGAGCCCAAGTTAAAAATAAAATTTTACTTAAAAAAATGGTCTACTTTTATTTTATTCAGTGTCACAATGCATTATAGATGGGTTTAAAAAAATTTCCCCTCCATGTATATATATAGTGAGAAGGGAGGAGACTCCGCTCGAAATTCTCCCAAAAATGAGCCAAAAACGATCGACAAAAATCCTTTTTTCGCACCGAAATTAAATAAAAACGTTTTAAAAAAGTTTTATCTGAGACAGCATATGTAAATCAACGTTTTTTACCTTATTTTGGACGAGAGGCATCGATAGAAACGCTTTTCGGGCAAAAAATCCAAACATATGGAACTTATGGGGGACAAATAGTCCGTGATCACTCAAGCTTGACCTGACAGTCCGTATGAAGTGCCAAATTTGACGAAAAAAGGCCAGATTTCAAGGCTTTTTTGAAGAAATGCGGCGACATTAAAAACAATTGTAAAAACCTAGCACCGGATTTAAGAAATAAAATCTATATGCGACCTTTCTGGGTATTTTTCATGAGAAAATTCGAAAATCCAATCACGTATTTTTGCCCTTGAAGAGTTGAAGTTGAGCATTAAAATAGTATGGGGATCCATGTTTTCACCACAGTTCGCTCCAAAAAACTGGGCCTCGCGTATAACTTATTTTGTTAATAAAAAACCTAGCACCGGATTTAAGAAATAAAATGTATGTGTGACATTGCTGTGTATTTTTCGTGAGAAAATTTAAAAATCAAATTACGTATTTTCGCCTTTGAAGAGTTGGCGTTGCTTCGCATCCGTTTGCGTTTCGGGATTCCTGTCCCGACGATGAACGGATGCAAAGGAGACTACTTCTGTAGGCACAAGCAACAAAAATCAAACTTGAATTTTTCAAATTATTGCTTTCTTATTATATGTTGAAAATGTACTCAAAACTATGCAGTTTTGTGTTAATTCAATATTTGAAAAATTTATATCAGTCAGTGAACGTAACTGTGATATTATATGTACATGTACTTTCCTTTCTAGAGGTGACTTTGCTATTAATAGTATTTAATGGTCAGATGATGATGTTAATGAGGTCGATCGACGACAAAATATTAATTAACTCCATTGTATTATATTTCATGAAGTAAATAAATAAATTACATGCATATATACATGCATGCATGGATGCATGAGTGAGCCTGGACAATAATCCAAGCAAATGTCACCCGATGTATGGCAATAAGTTCCATATG